AATAAATATTTATAAAATTTTAATAAAAATATTAAAAACATAAAAATTTCCAAAAAATTCAGAGAATTTTATGAAAAATTCGGCAAAAATTACATTTAAAAAATCGGAAAACATAAAAATTTTAAAAAAATATCGCAAATTAATAAAAATTACACAAAATATCGGCAAAATTCAAAAAAATATTGCGAAAAATAATGCGAAAATTAAAAAATTCACTCGAAAATCAAAAAAAAAAATTAAATTTTCTGCATATTCTGAGCAATTTTGGTGCGTCGATTGAACTGTTTGAACATCATCGAGCTCTTCATATTCATACCGCCGTTCTGCATCATCACCCCACCACCGAACCCGGCACGCCAGCGGTCGTTCGCCAGACGAATACCACCCGCACTCGATGATTTCGGCTGAATTCACGATATTTTTTTAAAAAATTTTCCTAAAATTCTTTGGAATGCCACAATTCCCATTTTGCCACAAAAGGTTATGGTCAAAACGCCAAAATTTGCGGTCAAAATGCCAGAATTTCCGTTATTATGCCATAGGTTCAGGTGGAAGTGCCAAAATTTTTGTCACTATGCCAAAGGTTCCGGTGGAAGTTCTGCCAAAATTCAGCGGCCATAAGTTGCGGTCAAAATGCCAAATGTTTCAGCCAAAATGCCGCCAAAATTTTCGTTATTATGCCAAAGGTTACAGTGGAAGTGCCAAAATTTTGCGGCCAAAGGTTACGGTCAAAATGCCAAAATGTCGAAACTGGAATGACAACCTGCCAATAACTCGTGCCAATACGATGCGTAATGCAGTTGGCCACGTAAATGGAGAAGAACGCGAGCGCGACGAACGCGAACGATATCAAAATCGCCCAATCAGGCACCGACGACTGCACTTCGATGGGCTCTGCAAATCCGGCACGGTCAATCCGCCAAAACCGTTGGTGTTCGCGCGCGTGTGTGCGTGCGCACGTGCGGAAAAATCCGCACATTTTGCCCAAACACATAAACAATCGAAGTCGCATTTACGACAGGCGCGATGTGCCAATTTCGTCGCAAAAAGTGGCCATAAAGCTCCGCCCACTCGCTGCAGTTTTTGGCACATTGCCCGAATGACCCAAATTTGCCCAGTAATAACAAATTAGACATTAGCTAAACGGAACGCCCAAAGCCACTTCATGAGATGAAACCAAAAGAACGAAATGCTACCCAAAACATACTTACTTACCCATGCGGGTAAGTAAATTTGGGTGAGGTGCATAAATTTGGCAAACTCACTGGACGAAACGATGCCACGTAAACTCTTCAAGTAGTTGTTGATGGCCGTGAACACCGTGTGACGTTTTGGGATGGCGAGTGGATGTGAGAAGCGTGACAAATGTGCATAGTTATATCTGAAAGCAAATGGCAATACACTTCTTGGAAATACGCCAAGTCCGCCCACGTTTGGCAAAATGACCACCCACTGAAATTTGTATTCAATAACTAAAGCTAAAACCAAAACCAACCTAAATAATGGTACCAAATAGGGTTTTCTCAATTTGCCCGGATCAAACGAGTGAATATAAATGAGCAGTAAATCAGCCTTGCAGCCCTCTACCCAGTGATGTGCCAACTCCTCTGCGTAAATCAACGCGGCCGCGGCCAGCGTGAACGGCCTCGTGAATTCCATCGATATATCGCATACGCCGAGGCTGAATTTTTTATTATTTTGTCACAATAACAATAATAAATAATAATAATAATAAATAATAACAATAAAAATAATAAAAGTAATAAAAAGTAAATTTTACTCTCACCACCTTTCAATACTAGTC